TGAGATATCTCACGAGTGCTTCACACAATATACTGTAAAGAGTAGTGACTATATTTTGTGGGCAAAACATGGCAGCCAATTGCACACAGCAGTGTCCCACAAACAGTCGTGGATTGAGTGACCATTTTTTTTTAGGGATTATTACCCCAGAAAGCGATCCACAAATCGACTAACAATGGGCTTCCTACTTATTGCCGGGTAAACCGAGCAATCAAACCCCGTCCTCTCGCTTGCAAGGCGAGCGCTCCACCCACTACGCTACAGGTCTCCGTACCTGGAATCCACACACAAAGTGGGTTTTCACCTCCCACCCCCACTGTCACCTTTCGTGTCGGGAAGACGTCTGTCTCAAAGCACTTCATAGGATCTTACTGTGAAGTGTAGTAACTGTGTGTTTTTCATGCAACCCTGTAAATTGCTCACGGTCTCAGTCTCGACCATCCATTGCCTCGACTTAAATTGCTCACTACGTTCCACTGTAATGTCCTCACGACATGAAAGGCGCTATAGCAAATGCACGGATTATTATTATTATTATTGCTGCTGAACACTCTCACTTCCTGAATAGCCGCCGACTTCCTTTTTCCTTGTAAAACCACGCCCGGAGCAGGCGTCAGCAATAAAATAATAACCTTTGCATTTATAGAGCCTCATCCCGTCACGAGATAGCGCAGCGCAGGGGCCTGGGGGCTGAGCTCGATCTCAGGCTCACTCGTGTTTGGAGGGAGAGGAGGGCTGAGGGAGGAGAGCGAGCGAGAGAGAGAGAGAGAGTTCTGAGGCGTTATTGGCTTCGGTTATTTTAGGAATGTAAGAAAATAGGCATTTCCTGTTCATTGGTGGTCAGAGTTAGCTGCTCAGGCTCCCCTCCTCCCCTACCCCTCCCACCTCTCCTGCCCCTCTACCCTGGCACAACCCCAAGCCGGGGGGAGGTGACCGTAGGCACAGCCGAAGAGGAAGGAGTGCCAATACACTTTATAGTAGCTTCTGTGATGAGCTTTCTATCAGATGCGAGGATTATTACATATTAAACCTGGAATCCTGTAGCGCAGTGGTTAGAGCACTCGCCAAATGTAATTTTGTTGTTGGGTTCGATTCCTGGTCGGGACAAAACCTTAGGCAAGTCCTTACTCCACACCCTCCCCTCTGTTTACCGGCAGGAAGTAGGAACCCGGTTGTTAGTTGATTGGGGATCGCTTTTCCGGGGGTAATAATCCCTTCAAAAAAAAACTACTAATAATTTGGTCACTCAATCCACCACTGTTTGTGGGACGCTGCTGTGCCCAATTGGCTTCCGTGTTTCGCCCACAAATTATACAGTCAATTCACTATGAAGTGCTTTAAGATGTCTGAACGATGTGATAAGTTATATATATATATCAAATGCAAGGATTATTACTTTTATACGAGGGGGACAGAGGGGCAGAAGGATAAAGCTGGGAACTACCGGCCAGTCAGCCTAACGTCAGTAGTGTGGAAACTTCTAGAGACTATAATCTGGTACAAAATAAATTTTCACTTAGAAAAATATGGGTTAATAAAGGACAGCCAACGTGGATCTATTACAGGCAAATCGTGTCTAACAAACCAGACAGAGTTTTTTGATGAAGTAACGGAGAGGGTGGATGAAGGTAGTGCAGTTGATGTAGTTTATGTGGATTTTCAAAAGGCGTTTGATAAAGTGCCACAAAAAAGACTTGTCAGCAAAATAGAAGCCCATGGTATTAAAGGGACAGTGGCAGCGGATACAGAACTGTCTGGGAGACAGAGAGCAGAGAGTGGTGGTGAACAGTTGTTTTTCTGACTGGAGGGAAGTGCAGTGGTGTCCCTCAGGTGTCAGTATTGGGACCACTGCTGTTTTTGATCTATATAAATGACTTGGACTTGGGTATAGGTACAATTTCCAAGTTTGCAGATGATACTAAGCTGGAAAAGTAGTAAACAGTGAGGAGGACAGTAACAGACTGCAAGAGGACATAGACAGACTGGTAACATGGGCCGACACGGGGCAGATGAAGTTTAATGTGGAGAAATGCAAAGTGAAGCATTTTGGAGGAAGAATGAGGAGCAATATAAGCTGATGGGACAAACTTAAAGGGGGTGAAGGAACAGAGAGACCTGGGGGTCATATAAGGAAATCTTTGAAGGTGGCCGGACAGGAAGATAAAGCTGTTAAAGAGCATCCGGGATACAAGGCTTTATAAATAGGGCCATAGAATACACAAGTCAGGAAGTTATGATGAACCTTTATATAACATAACATGTAGGAGCAGGAGGAGGCCATTCGGCCCTTCGAGCTTGCCCCGCCATTCAATCATGGCTGATCTTCTAATCTAACTCCAGATAATAACCTGACCCTGCCTTATCCCCATATCCCCCCCCCCACTCCCCAGCCTCCACCCCCCCTGCCTTATCCCCATATCCCTTAATCCCTTTTGCAATAAGAAACCTATCTATCTCAGTCTTGAATATGTTCAAGGACTGAGCGTCAACAGTCCTTTGGGGTAGTGAGTTCCATATATTCACTGCCCTTTGAGTGAAGAAGTTCTTCCTCAACTCAGTGCGAAAGGGCTGCCTCTGATTTTAAGGTTGTGACCACTGGTTTTAGTTTTCCAACTGGGGACACAGTCTCCCACTATCCACTCTATCATGCCCTTTGGTGATCTTATAGGTTTCTATAAGATCCCCTCTAACAAAACACTGGTTAGGTCTCAGCTCGAGACTGTGTTCAGTTCTGGGCCCCAACTTTAGGAAGGATGTCAAGGCATTGGAGAAGGTGCAAAGGAGATTGACCAGGATGGTACCAGGAATGAGGGACTTCAGTTATCAGGAGAGGCCGGAGAAGCGAGGATTATTCTCCCTGGAGCAGAGAAGGTTAAGAGGAGACGTAATAGAAGTTTTCAAAATTATGAAGGGATTCGATAGAGTGAACAAGGAGAACTATTCCCACTGGCGGGTGGGTCGGTAACCGATGTAAAATAGTTGTTAAAAGAAACAGAGGGGAGGTGAGGAGAACTTTTTTCACACAACGAGTTGTTGGGATATGGAAGCCATTGCCTGAAAGGCCGGTGGAAGCCAATTCGATTAAAAACTTTTAAGAGAGAAGTAGATAATTATTTGGGGAGGACAAGTTTGCAGGGCTATGGGGAGAGAGTGGGGAGTGGGGTTGATCCGGGCTATGTGGGGAGAGAGCGGGGAGTGGGGTTGATCAGGGCTATGGGGAGAGAGCGGGGGGAGTGGGGTTGATCAGGGCTATGTGGGGAGAGCGGGGGAGTGGTGTTGATTTGGAAGCTCTTTTCAAAGAGTTGGCACAGACACGATGGGCCGAATGGCCTCCTTCTGTGCTGTATGATTCTATGATTCTATGAGAGAGGGTGAAGGATAGTGCGTATTCCTTTCCAGACTGGGGGAAAGTCGTGTGTGTGGGTGGCATACATACCTGGAATACAGGATAAACTGTAAAGTGAATTGACTGTAATTTGTGGGCGAGTTACATCAGCCAATTGCACACAAGTGTCCCACAAACAGTCGTGGATTGAATGTCCAAATTCCTATTTTTTTAAGGGATTATTATCCCTGGAAAAGCGATCCGCCAATTGACTAACAACCGAGTTCCTACTTACTGCGAGGTAAACAGAGGATTGTGGAGTGAGTAATTTGCCCAACATTTTGCCCTGCCGGGAATCGAACCGGGTCCTCTCGTTTGCAAGGCGAGTGCTGTAACCACTAATCTATTGGACTCCGCATGATTTCAGACTGCCTGATCAAAAATAAAACAGTATTTTTTTTGACAGTCTCTCTCTCTCAGTCTCGCGTGTTCTGACTCGCCATGTTGTGACTATATGTCCTACCGACGTCTACAAATGTAAATTTGTTGTTTATACTATAATAATCCAAACCAACTCTTTGAGAATCAGTTTGACACGTGTGGAAACCCGTCACTTAAGACTCTCCAAACCAAGCTGAAGATTCCTTGCATCTCACCTACACGTGGAAATGCCAGAGATAGATTGTTGGAATGGAATGGGCTCTCTCTCTCTCTCCCTAGAGGGACGTATCCTGATTACCTAATTCCAGAAAGCATTAGGCGCAGATTGGCGAGAGCCAAGGCTTTGTGGGGAGCCCAGAGTGTGCGTTGGGGTAACTGCTGGAGTTTATCTAACCAGCTAAAGCCACACACAGCTTAGCCATTGATAGCGCTATCTGGCCAGCTTTGCCCCAAGATAATACAAACCTCCCCGTGCATGCGAGGGCTGAGTAACCTCTCTTTGCGAGGGAGGGGGGGGGTGTAGTGGGGGGCGGGGGAACGTGTGCCTTGTTTTGTGACTGTCTATTTGATACTTCGCACTGTTACTGGTAAGAGTGAGTATTGATTGTCAGGTTCCTTTGCTGACTCTGGAGCTGTGTAACTCATTGATTTTAAGCCAAGGACAGCATGTCCTGCTCTGGCCTATTCCTCCACAGTACGGTATCGGGCAGTTTTTCTTATCCTGCCTCCCTTTGCTCTTTCTCTCCGGTTCCCCCCCATTCCCCACCCTCCGTCTTCCCCTCCACCCACCACCATCCCTCCTGCTCAACTCAATCTGAGTAAGACCGACTGCCACTGAGGAAAAGGGAGTTCCTGTAGCTCAGTGGTTAGAGAACTCGCCTCACAAGCGAGAGAGCCCGGGTTTGATTCCCGGGCGGGACAAGGCGAAACATTGGGAAAGTTTCTTTACTCCACACACACACACACGCACTCCTCTGTTTACAGCAGTCAGTAGGAACCCGGTTGTTAGTCAATTGGCGGATCGCTTTTCTTTCAGTAATAATCCCTCCAAAACAATATAATAAATTGGTCACTTCAATCCATGACTGTTTGTGGGGACCCTGCTGTGCGCAATTAGCTGCCGCATTTCGCCCACAAAATAGTCACTGTATTCCGTGAAGCACTTTGAGCAAAGCCAGGGAATCAGACAGATGTGTAAGGCACAGCCCTAACCTCTTTCTTTCTCTCTTCTCAGACGGGGTCAGAGGGCAGCGCGGTGGATGGCCCCAAAACAGGCCCAATGGAAGAAGGAACGAGCAACGCGGCTGAAGAGAGTGGGCTGAGGCTGACCATGGCTCCCAGCCTGGCCAACGGCGTTTACTGTCACCAGGGGGCATGCGGCGCAGCTGCGGAGAGCGGCGAGTGGACTGCGGGGGTCTCGGGGCTACCTCAACACCTCAACGGCGGCACCGACTGGGAACCGGAAGCGATCAGTCAGAGTACCGGCCCCCCAGGGGAGGAGAGGAGGCCCACCCCGTACCACGAGGCTCTGTACAACTCCCCGGTGTCGGTCATGCGAGGCGAGCGTTCATGGCGGAGGGTCTCACCCGGAGAGAAAGGTGACACCGAGCTGCTGCTGACCACCAACGGGGAGTGTCCGGAGCTCAGCACCCTGACCACCGCCTGGACCCTGGCCAAGAGGCATGGCCGCAAGCCCCCCAACTGTAACTGTGACGGACCCCAATGTCCTGACTACCTGGAGTGGCTGGAGAAGAAAATCAAAACGGCGATGGGTGGGGGGCAAGGGCAGGGCCGGGCGGGCGAGGGTCTCGCTGAGCCCCTGGCTCACAACGGCTCACCCCAGCTCCAGCCCCAGCTCCAGCCCCAGTCTCAGCTCCAGCTCCAGCCCCAGCTCCAGCCCCAGCCTCAGCCGGTTGCCCTCAGCCCCCCCGAACCCACCCACTACTCTCAGAGCGTTCTGAGTATCGCCAAGGAGAAGAACATCAGCCTCCAGACAGCCATGGCCATCGAGGCCCTCACACAGCTCTCCTCCCGCCTCCCCTTCCCCCAGGACGCCGGGCTGGGTGGGGGGGGCAACAACTCCCCAGCCCCTGGGGAGACCTGCTCCTGCCCCAACACGTCTCAGGGCCCTCAACCCGAACACCCCCAGGAGCAGCAGGGCCATCCACAGCCACCTGTTCAGCCGGTCTCGGCCTACCCTGCCCCAGTCCAGTCACCGTGGTCAGAGCTGGCTGACCGCTACGTGCCGACCGTCACCAGGCTCCCCGATGGCTTCCCGAGCCCCAAGCCTCCCGTGGAGACCCCCTGCCTGGCCACCAGCGGTGCCCAGCTCAGCCAGGTTGCCTACAGCTCCAGCCAGTCTGGCCCCTCGCTCGGAGACCCCATGCTGGAACTCCGGCAGCTACTAGACAAGAACAGCGCCAAATTCCCGCTGCCCGTCTTCAAGCTGCCGCGCTCCAGCCCCGGCCCCGGTCCTGGCCCGGCTCCCGGGATCGGCTATTACGGAATTCCGCAGCAGCCAGCAACGCCACAAACCCAACCAACGCAGCAAGTGACCGTGCATCAGCGAGCGCAAGAGGCCCTGCAGCAACACCTCCACCACAGACGCAACCTCTTCAAGGAGCAGAGTCTGTCGCCAGCCAGTCAACCTCCAGACTGGTGGTCACATCACCAGCTCCTCAAGAGGCCCAAACCCAAGAAGCTGGGACAGGAGAAGAAGAAGAAAGTCCAACCCATGCAGAAACAGCGAAGAGAAAGCCCCATCCCCAAGCCTGCACTGGGAGGCCCCCCACAGCAACAACAACAACACCTCCAGCTCCGCCCGTTCCTTTCCCACCATCAACACCAGCACCGGACCACCCTGGACCCCTACCCGCGGATACCGAGCGGGCTGCAGGCCCAACTCCTTCCCCAACGCCAACTGGTCAGACCCCAGCCCGACCCCTGGGCTCCCCCCGGCCCGGCAACGAGATAGTGCACGATCCTCGGGGTTTCCTGATAGAACCCTACCTGTGTGGCCACCCCCCGTCGGCCCCCGCCACCCCCACTCCAGCCCCAGGCCCCTCTCCCTCCCAGCCCCCACAACCCCCACCCCCACCCCCACCCCAGCTCCGGGGCAGGACGGCGGCTCCCCCGCCCCTCACAGCCCCCGCACGTTCGAGGAGAAGATTGAGGAGTTGCTGAGGCAGTTCGAGGCAGAGTTCGAGTCCGGCTCGGCCCCTTTCCCGGCCTCGCAGACCCCCACCCTCGCAGAGGAGAGCAGCTTTGAATCTCAGGCACAACCTCAAGCCCCCCACCCTGCGTTCTCGTTCTTCAACCACGACAGTCGGGGGAGCTCCCCCCAGCCCCAGCCCGGGGAAAGCTATCCCAAACTCCTCAACAATTCCTTCGTACCTGGCTCCTCCAAGCACATGAAGGTGGAGAGTTCGGGCGGCATCACCGTGCTGTCCACCGTGTATTCGGGTGAGAACACGGAGGGATCGTCGGAAGAGGCCACCCCCACGAAAGATGGCATGCCCCTCACCCCCTCCCTCAGCGGCTTCCTGGAGTCTCCTCTCAGATACCTGGATACCCCGACCAAGAACCTGCTGGACACCCCCTCCAAACGGGCGCAAATGGAGTTCCCGTTGTGCGACTGCGTGGGTGAGTTTGCAAACCCAAGTCATTAAGAGTCATTTAAACGACTTGCGCAATTGGCTGCTGTGTTTCACCCACAAATTTACACAGTCAATTCACTCTACAGTATATTCTGTGAAGTGCTTTGAGATGCCTCAGTATGATAAGGCACTGGATCAAATGTTAGGTTTATTATCATTTATATTATTTGTGGAATTCTATAGCTTATTGGTTACAGCACTCACCTCGGAAGCGAGAGGACTTGGGTTCCATTCCCGGGCGGGGAGAAATCTTAGGCAAGTTTCCTTACTCCACACATACGCCTCTGTTTACTTAGTAGTAAGTAGGAACCTGGTTGTTAGTCGATTGACGGATCACTTTCCAGGGATAATAATCCCTTCCCCCAAATAATACTAATTTGGTTACGCAACCCACGACTGTTTGTGGGGACGCTGCTGTGCGCTATTGGCTGCCACATTTCGCCCACAAAATACACAGTCAACTAACTTTACAGTGTATCCTGTGAAGCGCTTTGAGACGCCTTGAAGATAGATAAGGCGCTGGGTCAAATGCCAGGATTATTATTTGTGTTTTGGGATCCCCAACCCCACCCCCACCCCCAGCCCCAGCCCGGGCCCTGCTCTCTCTCTCTCTCTCTCTCGCACCACATTGTCGGGCGAGCCTTCCTTTCGCTGAGATGTTGATCCCAACTCCCTGTCTGTCTGTCTGTCTGTCTATGGTCTGATTGGGTGAGTGTTAGAAGTCCCTCTTCGAGTTATTAGCAAGGAGTAGGGAGTTTCTCCTGGTCAGGTTGTGTCCTGGCCAACAATCACCCCCACAGATAAAATTGCTCCCTCTCTTCCCGGCCGTTTGTGGCGTCGTCACGACACAAAATCGTCTTCCGCATTCGGACACAAAAGCAACACAGTCGCCTTAACGGACCTTTAGCACTTATTAGCAGCCCCTGTTACTGACCTGCGACTGACCCACTACAGTTTGGAAACCCAATCTGTCCATAGCCCCATTGCTCTGCTCCGTGTCTGATTCCCACAGACTGATGGATGGCGTCGCTAACAGCTGTACAATCTGACTCCCAGTGACACACACGGCAGCACAGCCCTCAAACACCTCCGGGGAACAGCCACAAGTCAGGCCTAAATATTCTCTCCAACCTGTCCTCCCTCCCTCCATCTCTCCCTCCCTCCTTCCATCCCTGTCTCCATCTCTCCTTCCTTCCATCTCTCCCTCACTACCTCCCTCCATCTCCCCCTCCCTCCCTTCCTCCATCTCCGCCTCCCTCCATCCATCCATCTCCTCCTCCCTCTCTCGATCTCTCTCTCCCTCCCGCCCTCCCTCCCTGCCTTCCTGCCTCTCTCCCTACCTCCCTCCCTCTTTCCCTGCCTCTCTCCCTCCCTCCCTCCCTCCTCTCCCTCCTTTCTGAAGCAAATGAGATAGATTTCTGTTATGAAATAACATGTGAGGACACAGTACAGTAGGACCCGGTTTGCTGCCACTTCAGTAATCCACGTCTCACAATTACAAACATATTCTCACAGTCTCCTTCGTTGTCCATGTTAAAAGGTTGTCTGTCTGCTTCAGTAAACCGGGCATCTCACTAATCAGGACAACGGTCATTGATTTCAGCCGCCAAGAGTGCCCCCCCCACCCCACCCCAGTACAGACGCTGCCTGTATTTTAATGATTTACTATTGCCAAGTGTGATTGTTGAATGATCATCCTCCTCCCCCCTCCCCATTACCAATGCCCTTAACATTACATCAGTGACCTGTCTCAGTAATCAGGTCACCTCACCAGGTCGGTCACTTTTGCTCAGTCCCTTGAGGGTCCGGATTAGTGAGGTTCCACTGTATATAGTTTGGGACACAACAAGTGAAGTGACGGCCAGGAAGGTGGAAGGAGAACTCGATGGACCTTGGTCTTCTTTTGTCCAGCAAATTCCTACGTTCTTATGTTTATGTTCTTCCTCCATCTCCTTCACACGCTTTCCATCACACTCTCTCTCCTTCATACACTTTCTCTCCTTCAAACACTCTTTCTTTCACATATTCTGTTTTTCCACGCTCTCTCCATTCTCTCCTTCACTCTCTCTCACGTCCACTTTCTCCTTTATACTCTCTCCTCTTTCTCTAATTCTCACACACACACTCTCTCTCTCTCTCCGCTAAAACAGACACCCTCTCTCTCCTTTCTCTCTCCACAATCCTTCACTCTCTCACACATTTTCTCCTTCATACTCCTTCCTCTCTCCCTCTCTAATTCTCACACACACTTTCCCCTCCCTCTCTCTCTCTCTCTCTCTCTCCTGTCTCTCTCCACCAACGCCCTCTCCCCTCCTCTTCTCTCCCCCTCTCGCCACCACCCTCCGCTGGCTGGTTGCTGTGGGGTTGACAAAGAGCCAAGGAACGAGACAGCAGCGAGTCGGAGGGATAAAAGTTCTGATTTTAACACTTTACCAGTGTCTCAAGTAACAGATGCCTAAATTAAATCAGACGACTCCCTTTTGTGGAGTATTGATGTCCATCTGCCTGCATGGCAGACGTCCAGCTGGGATTACTTTTCATCCTGCGATTGGCTTGTTGCCAAAGAGACGTGCGGAGCATGAGAAACGCCGGGAGGGGGGGGATGAGGTGAGGGGGGGTGGGCTTGTGAACCACAGCATTCCTGACTAATCGTCGGTCAAGACCTGTCGGCATCTCTTCCCCACTTCCCCCGCCCCCCGCCCGCCCGCAACAGCAACAACAGTCAATTCACTTGAGACGTTTGGAGACATCTCGAAGACGTGATAAGACGCTGTATCAAATGCAAGGAATATTATTATATTATCACATTTACACAGCCCTTTCATGTCGGAAAGAGGTCCCAGGGCGCTGGGCAGTCAAGGGTTTGCACCTGAGCTGTGGTCTATTAAAAGGGTGGTGGAAAGATGACCCAAGGCACGGTCAAAGAGGAAGGTCTTGAGATGGGCCTTGAAGGAGAGGAGGGAGGATGCGAGGCGGAGGGGCTGAATTGTTTTGACCGTTTGCCTCACGCCTCAGGTGACGGACTGTCTTACATCCACCTGTCGCAAAGGCTCAGACACAGTAGCCATGGGAGGCTGTGGAATCTCCCAGCCCAGCCTGGCCCAGCCCTCCCTACCTCTACGACCTGCTCACTCCACTGCTCGCTGCCTCCACTCGACTGGCTCCGGCCTCCTGCTTGTCCCTCGTGTCCTCCGTTCCACCGTCAGTGGCCGCACTTCCAGCCACTGTGCCCCGAAACTCTGAAGCTCTCTCTCTCTATCCCTCCGTCTCGCCCCCTTCCTTCCCCATCTTCAGGTCGCGCCTGAAGACCTTCTTCTTCGTCCGTGTCTACGGTCACCTCCCCCCTCCCCCCGGCTCGGTGTCATGCTCTGCCACTGGCAAGCGCTCTGGGACGCTGCCTGCATGAGGGGACATGCGGAAATGCAAGTTGTTGTTGCTCCGCCTGTGAGACTCTGCCCTCACTGCCAGTCGGAAACCTTGCCCTTCATTGATTATTCAATCAGGGCAACAGTTAGTTGTTTTCTCTCTCTCTCTCTCTCTCTCTCTCTCCTGCTGAAGAACGCAGTTCACAGGGGAGAGATGCTGAGACCAAGCTCCCCACCTATTAGACTCACTCACTGGACAGACAGAGAGAGAGAGAGAGAGACGTGCACTTTTTCCCCCCCCACCCCCACCCCCAACCTGCCACACCTACTAACAATCCGTGCTTTCAATACAGCATCTTCCTTACTCCACACAGAGCCCTAATAATAATCCCTCCAAAAAAACAAAACAATAATAAATTGGTCATTTTCAATCTACGACTGTTTGTGGGACATTGCTGTGCGCAATTGGCCGCCGCGTTCACCCACAAATATACAGTCAATTCACTTTACAGTATATTCTGTGAAGCGCTTTGGGACGTCGAGAAGACGTGAAAAGCGCTATATCAAATGCAAGGATTATTATTATTATTATTATCTCTTACCCCGGGAGGATGTCTCACAGCGTTCACAGGATTTCATTGTAAAATGTAGTGACTGTGTGTTTTGGAGGTGAATGTGACGGCTGATTTGTGACAGCCTCTCTCTCTCTGTAACAACTACTCTCTCTCTCTCTCTGTCACTCACTTTCCCATATCCTCTCCTCCTGTGTTGAATAGTTATCACATTTTAAGACTTGAGGAATGTCGTGTAGGAACAGATGGTGCCTTCCCAAACTCAGCTACGCTGTGAACTCTGCCGGGATCAGCCTGATCTCACAGCCCGTCTCTGAACTCACAGACAGTGTGACTGTCAGCGGGGAAGGGTGTGTGTCTTACACAAGTGAACCTTCAATAGGCTGAGCCAAGCTTGCTCCGTGCTGCAATAACATAAACCTTTGTGTTCAATACAGCGCCTTATCACATCATCAGCACGTCTCAAAGTGTTTTATAGGTTTTATTGTAAAGTGGTGCAACTGGGGCTATTTTGTGCAATAATAACAATTATTATAATAATAAAATGATGTTTGTGGGACGCTGCTGTGCGTAATTGGCTGCCTGTTCGTCTACAAAATACACAGTCAATTCTCTTTACAGTATATTCTGTAAAGCACTAAGAGACGTCTCGAAGGTGTGATCAGGCGCTTTAACAAATGCAAGTATTATTATTATTGTTGTAACCATCTAATTTGATATAGCACTTTATCAGGAACATGGGAATATAAGAATTACTAGATGAAAAAAGACCAAGGTTCACCCAATTTGCCTTCCACCTCGTCCTCCTGATGTGACCCAAGATATTATTTCCTATTTTACCTAATTTGTATTTGAAAGAATCGACACTTTCTGCTTCCACCATTATTGTGAAGGGAGGACATCTCCACACACTTCACAGCGTATAGTGTGTGTAGTGACTGTATGTGTTGCAATAATAACGTTGCATTTGATACAGCGCCTGATCTCTTCTTTGAGAGGTGTCAAAGCACTTCACAGAATAAACTGTAAAGTGAATTGACTGCGTATTTTATGGGCGAAATGCGGCAGCCAATTACGTACAACGGCGTCCCACAAACATTCGTGAATGAAGTAATAAAAATTATTATTATTTATTTTTGAAGGAATTATTATCCCCGGAAAAGCGATCCGCCAATTGATTAACGACCGGGTTCCTACTTACTGCTCGGTAAACAAGAGGCGTGTGGAGTTTGTAGGGCAGTCTCAGCTTGGCACTAACTGACCGGATTACCAGTCTCTCGTTTCATTAGGAAGTTAGTGTCGCTCAGTGGTTAGCGCACAAGTGAGAGGACCTGGGTTTGATTCCTGGTCTGTGCGAAACTTGAGACAAATTTCCCTACTCCACACGCCTCTGTTTACCTCGCGGTCAGCAGGAACCCAGCTGCTCGTCGATTTACCGATCACTTTTCCGGGGGTAAAAACCCTTAAAAATATAAATAAATAATAATAATAATTTGGTCACTTCAATCCACCACTGTTTGTGGGGACGCTGCTGTGTTGGATGCCGGGTTTCGCCCACAAAATATACAGTCATTGACTTTACAGTATATCCTGTGAAGCGCTTTGAGACGTCTTGAAGACGTGATGAGGCGCTGTATCAAGTGCAAGGATTATTATTATGGTCAGGGAGTTACTGAGCCTTCCTGACTGGTGACATGGAGAGACAGTGTCTCTCTCCTCACACTGACTAACTTTTTCTACTGGTTTCTGTTGCAGAGCAAATCATAGAGAAAGATGAGGGTCCGTATTACACCCACCTGGGCTCTGGTCCCACCGTGGCATCGATCCGGGAGCTCATGGAAGAGAGGTACTTATTAACCTGTCTGTTCCCTACCCCCAACGGGCTCCACCCTTGTCCGCGCCCCTCCCCCACTATGAACTCCGCCCCACCATCCCTTCGCTTCGCCCCCTCCCTCGCTTCCTTCAAGGCCCATCTCAAGACCCTCCTCTTCGACCAACCGCGCCTTTGGTCACCTTCCTACCTCCACCCTCCCTGCCCTCCACCCCCTCCTGATCCCAAACCCCAGCTCGGGTCCAAACCCCTGACTGTCCAGCATTTTGAGACGTCCTCATGATGTGAGAGGCGCTGTGTAAATGTCATGTGTTGTGGTACGGGTTTAAGCTCAGCCCCAAACAGGCAGCAAAGAGCAGCTCTGACCAGGTCGGCGGGTGTGTGGGAGGGGGAGGGGGGGAGTGGGGAGGGGGGAGAGGACACCAACTGGGAGAGAAACTTCCATCTGGTTTAGAGTAGCGTCTTCGAGGGCGGCAGGAGATGGATTTGACTCTCGTCCAAAGGACAATGCATTGGATTAGGATCACCTGTGATCTCACAGCCCACACCGGAGTGAGTCAGACCCCTAACCTCACCTCTCCTCTCCGCAGTGGCCAGTGTGGGGGATTGTTAGCCACACTGCTCTGTAACCAGTGAGTCAGTCTCCATCATTGGGAGAGTGCGAGTGAGTGAGCGAGTGAGTGAGTGAGTGAGCGACACACAAAACCTGGATGTCTGGATCCAGTTTGGGAAATGCATGTGGGGAGAAAGCCTGTCTTGGCGTCGTTACACTCTCACGGACAGACGGACGGACGGGTTGGGGTCAGCCTGAGCTTTTTTTTTGGTTTTGTTTGACACGAGCAACAGCATCGTCGACCCCAGGGTGAACTTTGTCGAGAGGGTCTTGGGGGAAGAGTGCGGGGGTGGGGAGAAGGTTACGGGGGAAGTGGTCAATGGGAAGGGTCAGGGGCCAGGGGTGGGGGTTGGGGTTGGGGGTGTTGGCGGAGGGGGGGGGGGGGCAGGGGTAGAAAACAAAATAAGGGCTAAGCCGGATGAACGCGGGTGGAGTGAGCAGCTTTGTATCCAGCAGAGGAAGGGTTAAAGGCGTGTATGTGTGTGTGTGTTTGTGTGTGTGTGTGTTGTGGGCGCACACACACACACACGTGTGTACACGTTGAGGTCTGTCATGGCTTTAAATCACCCCGGCAGCAACACGGAGTCTGGGATTAGGCTGCGTGTGAAAGTCAGACCTTTCAAGTCTCCCGACGGCAGAGTGGGAGCTGCCGGGAGCGGGAGCCGACCTCCCGGCCTCCGGCTGCTCCGTGTTGTGATATGATTATCCTCAGCAGCTGATAAGGCTGTGGTGTGAAGGGGAAGGTCTGCGGCCAACAGAGCGCGGACTGTATCAGTTAATTACCGCTGTGCTGCAGGAGCCACAGCGCTCCATCCAGAAGGTGGGGACTCGCTCACTCGCTCACTCACTCACTCACTCCTCAGTACCTCACGCACTCGCTCACTCACGCACTCGCTCACTCACGCACTCGCTCACTCACGCACTCGCTCACTCACTCACTCACTCACTCACTCGCTCCCTCAGTACCTCACGCACTCGCTCACTCACGCACTCGCTCACTCACGCACTCGCTCACTCACGCACTCGCTCACTCAGTACCTCACGCACTCGCTCACTCACGCACTCGCTCACTCACGCACTCGCTCACTCACGCACTCGCTCACTCAGTACCTCACGCACTCGCTCACTCAGTACCTCACGCACTCGCTCACTCACTCACGCACTCACTCAGTACCTCACGCACCCGCTCACTCACTCACGCACTCACTCGCTCACTCACGCACTCGCTCACTCACGCCCTCGCTCACTCACGCCCTCGCTCACTCACGCCCTCGCTCACTCACGCCCTCGCTCACTCACGCACTCGCTCACTCACGCACTCACTCGCTCACTCACGCACTCACTCACTCACGCACTCGCTCAGTCAGTACCTCACGCACTCGCTCACTCACTCACGCACTCACTCAGTACCTCACGCACCCGCTCACTCACTCACTCGCTCACTCACGCACTCACTCACTCACGCCCTCGCTCACTCACGCCCTCGCTCACTCACGCACTCGCTCACTCACGCACTCGCTCACTCACGCACTCACTCGCTCACTCACTCACTCGCTCACTCACGCACTCGCTCACTCACGCACTCGCTCACTCACGGACTCGCTCACTCACTCACTCGCTCACTCACGCACTCGCTCACTCACACACTCGCTCACACACTCGCTCACTCACTCGCTCACTCACACACTCGCTCACTCACGCACTCACTCAGTCATTCACTCACACACTCACTCATTCACTTACTCACTCAGGCACTCGCTCATTCACACACTCACTTCCTCATTCACTCACGCACTCACTCGCTCACTCACTCCCTCATTCACTCATGCACTCACTCGCTCACTCACTCACACACTCACTCATTCACTTGCTCACTCACGCACTCACGCACCACCTCACGCACTCACTCACTCATTCACTCACTCATGCACTCACTCATTACTCACTCACACACTCACTCATTAAGTCACTTATGCACTCACTCACTCACTCACTCACGCACTCGCTCACTAACTCACCCACCCACCCACTCACCCACTCACTCACTCACTCACTCACTCATTCACTCACTCACTCACTCACTCACTCACTCACTCACTCACTCACTCACGGACTCAGTCTGGCCCTCGCAGCCTCCACCTCTTCCTGAGCTTTAGAGATTCTTCTTGTGCGGTCACTCAGTTCTGTCTGTGGGACTCTGTTGTGCGCAATTGGCTCCCGGGTTTCACCCACAAAATATATAGTCACTATACTTTACTGTATATTCTGTGAAGCGCTTTGAGATGTGTCAAAGAGGCGCTGTATCAAATGCAAGGATTATTATTATTATTCTATGTTTTGTAAATACCGCTGAGTGTGTGTTCTGGGGCTGACATGGAACCTTTGTAAAAAGTTTAACTCAACTTTGGTAAACGTTCGGTAACTCCCAGTGAAACTTTTTTTGTGTGAAGCTAAATTAAGTGGCGGGAAGATTCCTCCAAAAACTCCCTCTGATTTGCTGGGGAGACCTTCCATTATATTTATGTACTTTATCTCTCTGAACACACTTTTGGTCATCTCCCCCCCCTCCCCCTCCACCCCCCCCACCCCCCCCCCCAGCCTATCTGCAGCTCAGCCAGTACTGTTAAACACTTTGGGATGTTTCTGCCCCCCCATCCCCTCCGAGGTCAAATAGTTCCTTAAAATTTAAATGTAAATTGCATTGTTAAATTTATACCATCTCTGTATAAAGGGACACTTCCTGGTCTCTTGTTTTGAAGTGCTCTGAGTCGAAGGCGCTGTATAAATGCATGTTGTTGTTGCTGCTGCTGCTGCCCTAACAGATGAGAGTGCAAGAGAGCGAGATAGGAGAGGAGAGCAGAGGAGAAAGTGATCAATAACAATCCTATAATATAAAAATAATTCTTGCATTTAATCCTTGCATTGATCAATAAAGAGAGAGAGAGAGCAGCGAGGAGAGAGGAGAGACAGCAGCGAGGAGAGAGGAGAGAGAGAGCAGCGAGGAGAGAGAGCAGCGAGGAGAGAGAGGAGAGAGAGCAGCGAGGAGAGACAGCAGCGAGGAGAGAGAAGAGAGAGCAGCGACGGGAGAGAGCAGCGAGAGCAGCGAGGAGAGAGGAGAGAGAGAGCAGCGAGGAGAGAGAGCAGCGAGGAGCGAGAGCAGCGAGGAGCGAGAGCAGCGAGGAGCGAGAGCAGCGAGGAGAGAGGAGAGAGAGCAGCGAGGAGAGAGGAGAGAGAGCAGCGAGGAGCGAGAGCAGCGAGGAGCGAGAGCAGCGAGGAGCGAGAGCAGCGAGGAGCGAGAGCAGCGAGGAGAGAGGAGAGAGAGCAGCGAGGAGAGAGGAGAGAGAGCAGCGAGGAGAGAGAGCAGCGAGGAGAGAGAGCAGCGAGGAGCGAGAGCAGCGAGGAGAGAGGAGAGAGAGCAGCGAGGAGCGAGAGCAGCGAGGAGCGAGAGCAGCGAGGAGAGACGAGAGAGAGCAGCGAGGAGAGTGGAGAAAGAGCAGCGAGGAGAGAGGAGAGAGAGCAGCGAGGAGAGAAGAGAGCGCAGCGAGGAGAGAGGAGAAAGAGAGCAGCGAGGAGAGAGAGCAGCGAGGAGAGACGAGAGAGAGCAGCGAGGAGAGAGGAGAGAGAGCAGCGAGGAGAGACGAGAGAGAGCAGCGAGGAGAGAGGAGAGAGAGCAGCGAGGAGAGAGGAGAAAGAGAGCAGCGAGGAGAGAGAGCAAAGAGGAGAGAGGAGAAAGAGAGCAGCGAGGAGAGAGAGCAGAGAGGAGAGAGGAGAAAGAGAGCAGCGAGGAGAGAGAGCAGAGAGGAGAGAGGAGAAAGAGAGCAGCGAGGAGAGAGGAGAAAGAGAGCAGCGAGGAGAGAGAGCAGAGAGGAGAGAGGAGAAAGAGAGCAGCGAGGAGAGAGAGAGCAGAGAGGAGAGAGGAGAGAGGAGAAAGAGAGCAGCGAGGAGAGAGAGCAGAGAGGAGAGAGGAGAAAGAGAGCAGCGAGGAGAGAGGAGAGAGAGAGCAGCGAGGAGAGAGGAGAAAGAGAGCAGCGAGGAGAGAGGAGAGAGAGAGCAGCGAGGAGAGAGAGCAGCGAGGAGCGAGAGCAGCGAGGAGCGAGAGCAGCGAGGAGAGAGAGCAGCGAGGAGCGAGAGCAGCGAGGAGCGAGAGCAGCGAGGAGCGAGAGCAACGAGGAGCGAGAGCAGCGAGGAGAGAGGAGAGAGAGCAGCGAGGAGAGAGGAGAAAGAACAGCGAGGAGAGAGAGCAGCGAGGAGAGAGAAGAGAGAGAGCAGCGAGGAGCGAGAGAAGCGAGGAGCGAGAGCAGCGAGGAGCGAGAGCAGCGAGGAGCGAGAGCAGCGAGGAGCGAGAGCAGCGAGGAGAGACGAGAGAGAGCAGCGAGGAGAGTGGAGAGAGAGCAGCGAGGAGAGAGAGCAGCGAGGAGAGAGAAGAGAGAGAGCAGCGAGGAGCGAGAGCAGCGAGGAGCGAGAGCTGCGAGGAGCGAGAGCAGCGAGGAGAGACGAGAGAGAGCAGCGAGGAGAGTGGAGAGAGAGCAGCGAGGAGAGTGGAGAGAGAGCAGCGAGGAGAGAGGAGAGAGAGCAGAGAGGAGAGACGAGAGAGCGCAGCGAGGAGAGAGGAGAAAGAGAGCAGCGAGGAGAGGAGAGAGAGCAGCGAGGAGAGAGAGCAGCGAGGAGAGACGAGAGAGAGCAGCGAGGAGAGAGGAGAGGAGAGAGATGGTGGGGCAATGGCTGCCTGTGTGAATGTTTAGCCCATCCCCTGTATCTCACCGTGAAACTCCCTTTTCAGGTACGGGGAAAAAGGGAACGCAATAAGGATCGAGAAGGTTATTTTCACCGGTAAAGAAGGGAAAAGCTCCCAGGGCTGCCCCATCGCCAAGTGGGTAAGTTCTCACATGTGACGTTTCCCACCATACACACTACCCCCCCTTACACCCACTCACACACACACACACACTACCCCCCCTTACACCCACTCACACACACACACTACCCCCCTTACACCCACTCACACACACACACACACTACCCCCCTTATACCCACTCACACACACACACACACTACCCCCTTACACCCACTCACACACACACACAACCCCCCCTTACACCCACTCACACACACACACACACACACTACCCCCCCTTACACCCACTCACACACACACACACACTACCCCCCTTACACCCACTCACACACACACACAACCCCCCTTACACCCACTCACACACACACACACACTACCCCCCTTAACCCACTCACACACACACACACCCCCCCTTACACCCACTCACACCACACACCCCCCTTACACCCACTCACACACACACACACACACACTACCCCCCTTACACCCACTCACACACACACACACACTACCCCCCTTACACCCACTCACACACACACACAACCCCCCTTACACCCACTCACACACACACACACACCCCCCTTCACCCACTCACACACACACACACACTACCCCCCTTACACCCACTCACACACACACACACACCCCCTTACACCACTCACACACACACCCCCCCTTACACCCACTCACACACACACACACACTACCCCCTTACACCCACTCACACACACACACACACTACCCCCCTTACACCCACTCACACACACACACACACTACCCCCCTTACACCCACTCACACACACACACACACTACCCCCCTTACACCCACTCACACACACACACACACTACCCCCCTTACACCCACTCACACACACACACACTACCCCCCTTACACCCACTCACACACACACACTACCCCCCCTTATACCCACTCACACACACACTACCCCCCTTACACCCACTCACACACACACACACTACCCTTACACCCACTCACACACACACACACACAACCCCCCTTACACCCACTCACACACACACACTACCCCCCCTTACACCCACTCACACACACACACTACCCCCCTTACACCCACTCACACACACACACACACTACCCCCCTTACACCCACTCACACACACACACTACCCCCCCTTACACCCACTCACACACACACACACTACCCCCCTTACACCCACTCACACACACACACACACACTACCCCCTACACCCACTCACACACACACACACTACCCCCCTTACACCCACTCACACACACACACACACTACCCCCCTTACACCCACTCACACACACACACACCCCCCCTTACACCCACTCACACACACACACACACTACCCCCCTACACCCACTCACACACACACACACACCCCCCCTTACACCCACTCACACACACACCACACCCCCCTTACACCCACTCACACACACACACACACCCCCCCTTCACCCACTCACACACACACACACACTACCCCCCCTTACACCCACTCACACACACACACAACCCCCCCTTACACCCACTCACACACACACACACACTACCCCCCTTACACCCACTCACACACACACACCCCCCCTTACACCCACTCACACACACACACACACACCCCCCCTTACACCCACTCACACACACACTACCCCCCCTACACCCACTCACACACACACACACACTACCCCCCCTTACACCCACTCACACAACCCCCCCTTATACCCACTCACACACACACACACACTACCCCCCACTTACACCCACTCACACAACCCCCCCTTACACCCACTCACACACACACACACACTACCCCCCTTACACCCACTCACACACACACACACTACCCCCCCTTACACCCACTCACACACACACACACACTACCCCCCTTACACCCACTCACACACACACACAACCCCCCCTTACACCCACTCACACACACACACACACTACTCCCCTTACACCCACTCACACACACACACACTACCCCCCCCTTACACCCACTCACACACACACACAACCCCCCCCTTACACCCACTCACACACACACACACACTACCCCCCCTTACACCCACTCACACACACACAACCCCCCCTTACACCCACTCACACACACACACACACTGTACCCCACATCTCACCCACTCACACACACACTGTACCCCACATCTCACCCACTCACACACACACACACACTACCCCACATCTCACCCACTCACACACACACTACCCCCACCTTACACCCACTCACCCACACACACACACTACCCCCCTTACACCCACTCACACACACACTACCCCCACCTTACACCCACTCACACACACACACACACTACCCCCCTTACACCCACTCACACAACCCCCCTTATACCCACTCACACACACACACACACTACCCCCCACTTACACCCACTCACACAACCCCCCCTTACACCCACTCACACACACACTACCCCCCCTTACACCCACTCACACACACACACACACTACCCCCCCCTTACACCCACTCACACACACACTACCTCCCCCTTACACCCACTCACACACAACCTTCCCTTACACCCACTCACACACAACTCTCTCTTACACCCACTCACTCACACTACACCCCTTACACCCACGCTCACACACACTACCCCTCCTTACACCCACGCTCACACACACTACCCCCCTTACACCAACTTACACACACTACCCCCCTTACACTCACTCCCCCTCCCCCCACATACACTCACACACCAACCTCTCCTCACACACTGCACCCCACACACTGCCCCCTCCACACACAAATTCGTCCACGCTGCACCCTCTCACACGTACATACTGCTCCACACACATTCGCACACACTCCCCCTCCACACACACTCACCCACTGCTCCCCCCTCACATGCTGCTCCCCCCACCACACACTCACACTCATGTTAGCATGTTAACTTAATATAAAATAGTCACCAATAGATCAAATAGGGAAGTAAGAAGACATTTCTTCACACAGAGAGTAGTGGGAATGTGGAATTTGCGACCACAAGGGGACAAGGGGTTGTGGAGGCAAATAACACAGATGTATTTAAGGGGAAACTGGAGAGGTACATGAGGGAGAAAGGAATAGAAGGTTATTCTTGAAGGCTTAGTTGAGGAAAGGCAGGAAGAGGCTCATGTGGAGCATAAACACCGGCACAGACCAGTTGGGCCGAATGGCCTGTTTCTGTGCTGTATATTCTAATGTATACTGCCCCCACTCACACACACATGCTCCCCCTCCCCCTACACACTCCCCTTCCCCACACACACTCATACACTGTCTCCCCCCCCCACACACACACACTCACACAGTGTCTACCCACCCATACACACTGTCTCCACCCCCACACACACACACATATACTGCCCCTACACACAAACACCCTCCTCCCCCTCCCGCACATGCTCCCCCGACACACATACACCCGACACAACCACACACTGCCCTTACACACAAACACCCCCACCCTAGCTGCTCCAGGAGTGGGGGAGGGAGGGAGGGGTGTTGGGAGCGAGCTGACCCTCTGTTCGCTGTCTCTCCCTGTGGCCAGATCATCAGAAGGTCCAGTGAGGAGGAGAAGCTGCTGTGCCTGGTGAGGGAACGAGCCGGCCATCACTGTGCCAACGCTGTGGTGATCATCCTGATCCTGGCCTGGGAGGGCATCCCCCGCGCCCTGGGTGACCAGCTGTACACTGAGCTGACCGAGACCCTCACCAAGTATGGCAACCCCACCTGCCGGCGCTGCGGCCTCAACGATGAGTAGGTGTCTCTCCCCGCTTCGTGGAAATGGGGAATCAGGGGATTTGGGGATCAAGGGAATCGAGGATTGGGGATCATGGGAATTGGGGATCAGAGGGAATTGGGGATCAGGGGGAATTGGGGATCAGGGGGAATTGGGGATCAGGGGAATTGGGGATCAGGGGAATTGGGGATCAGGGAATTGGGGATTAGGAATTGGGGATTAGGGGAATTGGGGATTAGGGGAATTGGGGATTAGGGAATTGGGGATTAGGGGAATTGGGGATTAGGGGAATTGGGGATCAGGGGAATTGGGGATTAGGGGATCTGGGGAATTGGGGATTAGGGGATCAGGGGAATTGGGAATTTGGGAATCGGGATTGTGGGGGGTGTAGAGGATGTGGGAAAGAGGTGGAAAGTGTGATTGATAGTAAAGGCAATTCAGAAAAGCAGGTCACATGGGGGGGTGGGGGTGGAGTGGGTAAATGCTCTCCTGAGCTGAGAAGTTTCCTCATCTCACATTGTTGCGACATCTCAAAGCGCTTCACAGAATATAATAATAGAATAAAGTGAATTGACTGGACATGTTGTGGGCGAAACACGGCAGCCAATTGCACACAGCAGTGTTTTTAGAGGGTGAACTGTCAGAGGAACTGGTGAGTGAGGGCGTTGACGCTGGGAATGTGGAAGAACGGCCGGGGCAGAATTAGAAGCTGGGTGGGGAGGGCGAAGCAGGGCAGAGCAGAGCTAGGAGGGGTGGGGCAGAGCCAGGAGGAGCCGACCAGGGGAGGGCTGGGCAGAGCGAGGCTTGGCAAGGGAAGGTGGGAACAGGAGCCTGAGGGCTTGTATTCCCCTGTGACCTGATCCCCTGCCCTGATTTGTGTTGTGAATCCAGCCGGACGTGTGCCTGCCAGGGGAAGGACCCGGAGACCTGTGGAGCTTCCTTCTCCTTCGGCTGCTCCTGGAGCATGTACTTCAACGGGTGCAAATACGCTCGCAGCAAGATCCCACGCAAGTTCAGGCTGATCGGAGATAACCCGAAAGAGGTCAGGAAGCTTATGTGTACCCACTCTGTACAGCGACGGGTTTCCGTGTGTGTCAGACACCCGGCTGGTCACGGTGACGGGTTTCCGTGTGTGTCAGACACCCGGCTGGTCACGGTGACGGGTTTCCGTGTGTGTCAGACACCGGCTGGTCACGGTGACGGGTCGTGTGTGTCAGACACCGGCTGGTCACGGGGACGGGTTTCCGTGTGTGTCAGACACCCGGCTGGTCACGGTGACGGGTTAAATGCAAGAGGCGGTTGGGAATGTCCTCTCGTGGTGAAAGGCTGGAAAAGTGGTCGCTGTATTTAATCTGTTGCTAATTATTGCTTGGTTTCTTCCCCATCACAGGAAGATTTGTTGAAGGAACGATTACAGAAGCTAGCTACAAGAATTGCTCCACTCTATAAGAAACTTGCCCCTCAAGCTTACAAAAATCAGGTACATCAAAGATTTATTTTCCTCCCCCCAAAATTTCTACCCTTCTCTCTGAACTGAGGAGAGCTCTGTGAGGTCAATGTTCCGGGGTGATGGTGGGGAAGGATTGCACGCTGTTAAACTGAGCTCCCTGTCTGTGCTGTTTGGGTGGACGTTAAAGCTCTCCGCACAGTGTTCTGGACGCTTATTCCCCCCCCTCTGTTTGCGGGCAGTCGCTGTGCGCAAATTGGTTGCAGTTCTACAAATACAGTGGTGGCACTTCACTGTAAATCCTGTGGTGCGTTTTGAGATGTCCGATTATGTGATGATACTGTATTGAATGCAAATATTATTACACTCAGCGCTGTGAGTTAAAAGTACTACACCGTGCCTTATTAGTACACTGTGCCACTTTTTAAAAATTAACCCATTCCCCAGCACTTTCCCACATAATGATTTCAGCTCCCAGATAAGTGAAGCAAATTGATTGTCACACAATGCCGATCTGGGGTTTTATCCTCAGCTTCTCTGGCCGTGGGCAGACCCTCGTCTTCAGTGGTTTGCTGAGTGTCTGCACTGAGGGTCTGAGTGAGTGTGAAGCCAGTGATGGTGGAGGGTGTATGACCGTGTTTACGAAGGCAAAGACCTGAGTGTGATTAAATGACAACAAGTTGATGCAACCCAAGACATCAGGTCAATGGGACTCCACCACCATCCTTGGTCTGATAAGTCATTGGTGAGCGAGGAGTTGCACACGAGGCTGGTTGTTGACGAATTGAATCAATTGTACAATTGAAATAATTGGGAAATAAATGATTTGAAATGAGGTTTATTTTCAAAAATAAAGATGGAAAGATCTTGAGTGGGATTTGAGCCCCAATCCTGATTCCCAGATAGTGACCCTCCCTCTGAGCCACCAACAAGCTTTGGGATGGGTTCTCTCTGTAGTATATTTGTCCTGGATAGTACCTGCACCTGGGATTGAAGGATAAGTACAAGTTCCAAATTGTCCCAACACAAATCCTCTGATGGTACAATTGAATGGCTTCAGTCTACAATGTGATGCTCTCTAAGATCTGTGGGTTCAAATTCCCAGCTGCCAGGGAATTCGTTTTCTCATGGGGAACGGGGATCAGGGGGAATAGGATAATTCTCTTACTTGTTGGAAAATTTAATAAAATTACTGCCTCTCTTTCTGGTGGCTCCCTAACCCTAACCTCTTGCAGCACTCAGCTCACTAACCCCCACTGAATGACCTCTCCCATAGCTGTCTTATTGGGCTTGATCCCAGCACTGTTCCTCTCGAAGAGACATTCTTTAACCGTTAGGCCACCGTGATTGTCGGCTTGACTCAGTTGTTACCTCGCTCTCCTCTGAGAGAGAGATCGTGAGTTTAAATCCCCGCTGGGACTCTGAGCTCACAGGCCAGGCTGACGCTCCAATACACAGATGAAATGCCACAGCAAAGGACAGGTCCACCTGATTGAGTGGACGGTAAAGATGTCATGACACTGACTGACCCACAAGAGAGCGGACACAAGCTCAGTGTCATGGTAGCTATTCCCCCGGCCAAACCACAAGTTGCCTGTGAGGGTCATGCTGTATGTGTAAAAAAATTAACCAAAATTTACAGTTTTTCTGTAAATTTCTGAGAGTTTTCCCATTTATAATCGCTGTTATCATTTATAAATATTATTTTATTATAATTAATAATTGCAATAATAAAATATCAATAGTGGCATCACCAATCAGCCTCCATGAATCAAATACAAAGATTATATTAGGTAGTCTAGTATATACATTTACTGTTTTGGGCTGTTTGCTGACGTGAAAGGCACTACACAAAAGTAATTTTGTTGTTCTTGTTATGTCCAAAGCAACTGCCACGTTCACCTACAAAATACAGTCACTATACTTTACAGCACAGTAAACTTCACATAGGTCATATCAGTTGGGACCATATATTTATTATGACTTATGCAAAGTACAAGTTCTGTTAAACTTGCATACAATACAGTAAAATATATAAACTCTTGAAGGTGTCGTAGGAAGGTGTACGACTTGGCGATTACACGATTTATACAGATCGGACTTATGTGAGATTTACAGTAAATCCTGTGAAGCGCTTTGGGATGTCCTCCTGGTGAGAAAGGCTCTGTGTCAGATGTAAGGGTTATTAATAATAAGCCGCTAGAATGGAGCTAAGCCTGTTTTGTGTTGACCTGCAGGTAGCACAAGAACAAGCGGGTCCAGATTGCCGCCTCGGGTTGCAGGAGGGGAAACCATTCTCCGGGGTGACTGCCTGCATGGACTTCTGTGCCCACGCTCACAAGGACCAACACAACATGTACAATGGCTGCACTGTGGTGAGTCAGTGAGCAAGTGAGTGTGAGAGCGAACAAGGGACAGAGAGAGAGCGAGGGAGGGAGGGAGTGAGCGGGGAGTGATCGAGCGAAGGAGAGAGTGAGGGTTGTTTGAATGAGGGTGGGAGTGAGCAAACAAGCCCACAAGAGAACGAGCAAATTAACGAACGAATGAACACTCTTGGAACAAATGGGGAGTTTAGGAGAATGTTTCTCACACACAGAGCAGTAAAGATATGGATCGCTGTCGGGAGCAATGGTTTCTAGAGGCACATTTCTAGAAACCGAAAAATGAGTCAATTGCCGAGGTGTGAGTGGATGTGTGTGTGTGTGAGGTGGGGGTATAATGGCAGATAAATAGGCCTGCAAGGATCACACTTTAAAGGAGTGGCACAGACAGGATGGGCTCCTTCTGTGCCATAAATATCTAGGATTCTGTGGAACGTTTGTCAGGGGGTGGGTGGGGGGTGGATGACCACAGGCACGGTTGAAAAGGTGTGGGGGGCAAGGCAGACGGATAAAGGGAGAGTGTTCCAGAGTTTCGGGGCGTAGGTTAGGTTTAGAGGTACAGGGCTGTGCTGGTTGTGACGTGCGCTGGCTCTCTCTCTCCGGGCAGGTCTGCACGCTCACCAAGGAGGACAATCGTAAGGTGGGGACCATCCCCGAGGACGAGCAGCTCCACGTGCTGCCGCTCTACAAGGTGTCGCCCACGGACGAGTTCGGCTGTGCGGAAAAGCAGAGCGAGAAGATCAAAGCGGGAGCTATCCAGGTGCTCAATGCCTTCCCCAGGGAGGTCAGGATGCTCCCGGAACGTGTCAAGTCCGCCCGCCAGAAGAAAATGGAGGCCAAGAGGGCAGCCGAGAAACAGAGGAACCAAGAGAAGAAGCTGCTAGCGGGCAAACTCAAACAGGAAGCAGGCGAGATGAAGTGCCCGACTCCACAAAGCCAAGGTACTGGCAGCTTTTGTCAAAACAGTGTGTGGCAATGTTTATGTTATGTGAGTGGGTCTCTCACACACACACACACACACACACACACAGGCTGTATGTTACTGACAGTGTGAGTATCCTGTAGCTCTCTGGAGTCCTGTAGCCAAGTGGTTAGAGCGCTCGGCTCATCAGCAAAAGGAACTGGGTTCGATTCCCAGGCAAAATGTTCGGCAAGTTTCCTTACTCCACACGCCTGTTTACTTAGCAGTCAGTAGGAACCCAGGTGTTTGTGGATTGCTTTTTTGGGGTTAATAATTCCTTGATTATACATAAAAATAATTTGGTCACTCAATCCATGACTGTTTGTGCGCAATTAGCTGCTGTGTATATTCTGTGAAGCGCTTTGAGACTTCTCAAAGACGTGATAAGGCGCTATATCAAATGCAAGATTTATTATTATTATTATTACTCACAGTATGACACTGTGTGTGTGTCTGTATGTTACTGACTGTCAGTTCCTGTTCCTGTTCGCTGTAGCTCCCAAATCTACTTCCTACTTCCAACTGTCCTCCAGCTGCTCCTGTGTTCTGTCCCCTCTTCTCTAATTGTTTACACGTTTAGTGTATTCACAACTATTGGAAGCATTAAAACTAGCGCTGCTCTCCTCCCCGTCCCCAGCACTGCACTGGAACACCAGCCTAACCCCCTCCCACCGACAGTCATAATCTTTGCAATTGATATAGCGCCATATCACGTCGTCGAGGCTGAACTGGCACCAAAGGTGACTTGCCTGGCATTGGAATGTGGGAACCGAGCCAACCCCGTGACGGTCTCTAGTCCGGTTCCTGAGCCAGGAGGGTCCGCAGGATCCCAAGGCACTGCTGATGACAGCACAGCCCAGTCTGGCTCATCGGCACGACCTGTAAGGGTTGACCAGTCACTTGGGGCAGGGAGTCATCCCCCTCAGCTCCTGATAACCCCACAGCCAAAGGCCTAACCAATGGGTAGGGTGGTCCAAGCCGGACAAGCAGCGGGACAGTTTGGCCAGACAGTGACATCAATGATAATAATAATAATAATAATAATTCTTGCATTTGATACAGTGCCTAATCACGTCTTCGAGACGTCTCGATACTCTCACAGATCGTACTGCAAAGTGTAGTGACCGTGTATTTTTGCGGGCGAAACCCGGCGGCGGCGGTGGCAGCCGCGGGGGTTGAAGTGACCCACGAAACGCGCATTCGCTCCACTTTCCGGTGTAGTCTTGCGAAGCTCCGCAGAATGGAAGGCGATGTGCGCTCACCGCGGAGTGTAGTGACTGTGGCGTTTTTCGTTTAACCTCCCGCTGTTTCCCCCCCATCCCCCCCCACCCCACCCCCCACAGACCTGGCGCTGGGCAGTGCGCCGCCCCAACACCAGATCGCCCCGACCATCAAACTGGAGCCTCAGAGCCACTACAACTCGTTCAAGCACAGCGGGAACAGTGTGGTGGAGAGCTATACGGTGCTCGGCAACTGCCGACCCTCCGACCCCTACAGTCTGGGCAGCGTTTACCCGTATCATTCCTACTATGCAAGGCCGGGCCTCCCGGCCCTCAGCGCCTACCGCCACCCCGGGTACTCCTTCTCCTACGGATACTACGGCTACGCCAGTAACCCGCTCTTCCCGCCGCCGTTCCTCAAGTACGGGAGCAGCTTCGACCAGAAGCCCGACGTGCAGGAGCTGTGCTCCAGCTACAGCCTGGCCCTGCGGCCCGGGCGGACCGACTGCGCCGAGCCCGGCCTGGGCCCCACGCCCCCGCCCCCCGGCCCGGCCCGGGCCCGGCCTCAGCCTTACGACCAGCCGTGCGAGCACCACCACCAGGTCCAGGGCCTCCCGCGCCCGGTGACGGCCCTCGGCCGCCTGGTCAAGCAGGAGCCCGAGGAGCCCCTCCCGCTGGCGGTGACCTCCTACCCGCAGCCCCCGCCCCCCGGGCCCCTGGCGGCCCTGCCCGGGCCTCTGCCTCTGCTCAGCCACGGCGACAAGCCCTGGGACGTCTACAAAGCCAACGGGAACCTGCTGTCGCCACCGCCGCCCGGGGGGTCCGGCCACGAGAGGCCGTGGAGCCTGTTCGGGGGGTCGGACGGTTGCGGGCCCGAGCGGTGGGGGTCACTGAGGGTCAGCCCGAGGCTCCCGCCTTCCGCCCCCCTCACCCCGGGGCCGGACACCAGGACACGCAGCCCCGCCGGCGGCTTCCCGCCCAAACTCTGGGATTCCTTCAAAGCCGCCGCCGCCGCCGCTGGGGGGGGCGACGCCATGTTGTTCACACCTCCCCCCCCTCCCGCCGCCGCCGCCGCCGCCCCTCCTCCCGCCGCCCACAGGCCTCAGGAGAAGCCGTGGGACCTGTTCGCGTCTGGGAAGCCGGTGCCAGGGTCGGGGTCGGGGTCGAAGCCCTGGGAGGACGGGGTGGCGGCCGCCTCGCCGGGCGGCGCCGTGTCCGAGGCCCTGTGGGAGCCGTACTGCGTGGGGGCCGAGGCCATGGACGAGCTGCCGCCGGAGTCGGGCTCCGGGTCCGGGTCCGGGTCGGTGAAGGAGGAGGAGGAGGAGGTCTGGTCGGACAGTGAGCACAACTTCCTGGACGAGAACATCGGCGGCGTGGCCGTGGCTCCGGCTCACGGCTCCATCCTGATCGAGTGCGCGAGGCGGGAGCTGCACGCCACCACCCCCCTGGCCAAGCCCAACCGCTGCCACCCCACCCGCATCTCCCTGGTCTTCTACCAGCACAAGAACCTGAACGAGCCGAGTCACGGCGTGGCCCTGTGGGAGGCCAAGATGAAGCTCCTGGCCGAGAGGGCCCGGCAGCGGCAGGAGGAGGCCGCCCGGCTGGGCCTCCCGCTGCCCGGCACTGCCAAGCTGCTCGGCAAGAAGCGCAAGTGGGGCGGCGGCGGCCTGGCCTCCTCCGCCGCCCCCGACTCCCCGCCGCCGGGCGGGGCCGACCGCGTGCCCGTCAACCGGGCCCTGTCCATCACCACGAACACTCTGATCACTGTGTCCTCATACGCGTACACCCAGGTAACCGGGCCCTACAGCCGCTGGATATGACCCCAACACACACACACACACACAGGGACGGTCTGTCTCTCTCTCTCTCTCAGTGACCCTCACTCACAGCACAGCCCTGTGGTTTGGTTTTGCTGAAAGTGGTGCTTTTTTTAAAAAAAAAATTAAAAAATTCTTCTTTTCTTTCAAAATTCCCTCCTCTCTCCCCTCCCCTCTCCCCTGTCCACCTCTCCCCTTCCTCTCCTCTCTCTCTCCCTCTCCCCTCTCTCCCTCTCCTCTCCCTCTCTCCTCTCACCCCTCTCCTCTTCCCTCTGAACAAAGAAGAAACTAATTTACACTGTTTATTATGTAAGGAAAAAAGAATTGGGGAGAGGGGAAATGTTTTTTTTGTGATGCTTTTTAAACGTCCTGCTCAAGAGTCAAGTGCAAATCATCTCAAAACAAACACAACAAAAAGCTAAACTGTTGGGTTCTTAACGATTTGGGTGACAAGCAACAGACAGACAGACAGACAGAGAGAGAGAGAGAGAGAGAGACAGAGGGAAAGAAAGAAATTCTGGGATTTTAAATCTAATTTATATCTGCGTGTTATCGTGTGTGGAAACTTACAGTTGCACATCTTGGAGAGATGGGGTGAGGGAGGGAGGGAGGAGGGCAAAAAATGAACAGAAAGGTGGAACTAAAGATTTTTTAATGTCGAAAAATTAGAAGATATTAGTATTTATTGTACAATTTTTTTTCTTATGTTTTGTCGTTTGGAAAAGCGGCTGCTGTTTATTATGTGGGGCTGGGTTAATCCTGACTGACCTCTCAGTCAGCCAACACCTGAACTCAAACTAAGCAAAACTGGTGCTTTTTTTAAATATATATAAATATATATATATATATAATAATACGTTTACAGCACAGAAAACAGTTTTTTTTTAAAAAAAACAATAGTGGTAGTTTAAAAAAAAATCAACTACGAAAGACCTTGGTGATTAACCCAGTTACTTAAATTTATAAACTATGAGACCACTGTTTTGGCTGCAGGTGCTTTTAAACCTTAATAGCCTGGCGTTTCACGTAAAAACGTCTTTCAATGCACTTATCCATTGGGTTGTGCCGTGTGCAGTTACATTTCGGTGGCAATTTAAAATTGTGGTGCTCACCCAGACTTACTTACCCCCCCATCCCCAATCCCCCCCCCCCCATACACACACTCTCCAGCCCCCGACCCCCAGCTCATTCTTCGAACACTGTAAAAAAACAGAGAGTGTTAACTCCCAGAGGAGCTCGCTCGGCATGTGGTGAGCCATATCTTGCACTGCGCTGTACTGAGCTGTGCGTTTCGTGTGTCTGTGCGTTTCGTGCGCGTGTGTGTGTGTGTGTGTGTGTGTGTGAGTCTATGCGTTTCGGTGTGTGTGTCTGCGTTTTGCGTGCGTGCATGGGTGCGTGTACAAAAAATATACAACCGTTCGTCTTAAAAAGTTGCACATTTTTACTGGAAGGGAGGGGGTAAAAAAAATGAGAAAAATAATACAGATTTGAATTGGAAGCTGGATTTTTTCGTGGATTTTGCACGGGAAAAAACTAGGAAACAGCTTCTTGATTTAAGACTGGATTACCAGAAGTTTATCTCAATCGATTTCTCTACGCAACGAATCTACGTGAACGTACACTTCAAGTGGCTCTTAAGGGCTAAGATAGGGGAGATAGAGGTGTTGGACGTCCTGAGCTGTCATTCACAGTAAAAGGTGCTACAACTATGTACCAACATCTTCATTGGCCCCCCCACACACAGACCCTCCTCCCCCCCCCCCCAAACACACAACATCCAACCCCAGTAAAAGGCAGACCCCCAAAACACACACACACAGTCTATTAAAGATTCCTTTTAAAAAAGAGAGAAAAAAGCACTTTCTTCCCCCCCTCCATGATTTTAAGGCAACAACTTGAAGTAGCTTATTTAAGATGATTGATGACGATGAGGAGTTTTGTGTGTGGGGGGGGGGTGGTTTATGTTCGTTTTCTCGGGAGGAACTGTTGTAAATAGTCTTTAGGGGGGAAAACAAAGGAATGGTTCTCTCCTCCCCCCCCAACCCCCGACCCCCCTTCACACTCTCTCCTGCTCGGTGTCTAAGGCTAAGTTAGCCTTCTGCTCTCCCGCCTGTTACTGTCACACTAAAGAGCTTTGGTCATCTGAGTGTCTGACATCCGCGGAACCCCATGGCCATGTTTTAAGAGTATTCAAACCAGCTTGATCATTGAGAGAAAAACCAGCACTCAGCAGGTCAGGCAGCATCTATGGAGAGAGGAAAGTGAATCAACCATGACCCGAAACGTTGAATCACTTTCCTCTTTCCATAGACGCTGCCTGACCTGCTGAGCGTTCCCAGCGAATTCTATTTTTGTTTCAGATTTACAGCATCTCAGTATTTTGCGTTTTGCTCATCGAGAGCACTGTCTGGCGAGGCACCCACCCCTTTATCCGGCTGGGACCACCCTACCCGTTAGGGCTTTGGCTAGCGGGGTTAACAGGAGCTGAGTGGGAAGATTCCCCCACTCACTGCATTGACTGTGAACTACACTGTAACAGCCACTTTGTGTGAACTTATCCCTCCTGCATCTCTGAACCGTCCTCTCAATCCTCACCCCTTCTCTTCCCTCTCTAACTGGGGGGAGGGGGGAATGTCCTCCCCCCCTCCCACCATGGTGCGGGTTTTACCCAGATTTATGTCAAAGAATCTCTCCTTGTGGTCCAGATTTTTACTCTGCACTTAAAATTGCTTTTTAACGTTGAAACCAGCCGACGGTTGCCTGACTTCACATCTCAGGACCATCGCTTCTCTATGAGCACCCCCTCCTCCACTTTCCTCTCCCCTCCCCCACTTTCTTCTCCCCTCCGCGCCTCCTCTCCCCACCTCCTCCCCCGAAGGAAGTTATATTACTTCCTAATTCTGCTCACCTTCCCTCAAAGCCACAAAAACAAACACAAACAAAAACAAAAGGTTTAAAAATGCCGTTGATTAAAGACACCGTTTAACCCTGGAGTGTCAACAACAACAACAACAACAACAAATGACCTTTGTTTAGCTCCTTACACGTCGGGAGGACGTCCCAAGGCGCAGGACACAGTTTGACACTGTTAACACAACGCAAACTACTGCAGGTGCTGGAAATCTGAAACAGAAGCCGCCGCGAACACTTAGAAGGTCAGGTCAGGCAGCATCTATGGAGAAAGGAAAGTGAGTCAACGTTTCGGGCCAAAGCAGCCTGACCTGCCGAGTGCTCCCGATTTCCAGCATCTGCAGTATTTTGCGTTTCGTTTCAGATTGACACTGTTACACGACTCTGGGCAATGTCAGACTTAAACTGAGCCCATGGTGTTGGTGAGAGGAGGTTAGAGCCCACTACCCTCCCCCCTCCCCCCCCTTCCCCCCCACAATGTCCCAGTTCTCAGGACTAATTGCAGTATTAAGAGGCACTGAATTCACTGAGGGTCTGTGTGGGGTGGGAGCGGGTTACAGTGTCTCCGGGTACATCATCTTGGAATGTCTGGCCAGATTTCAGCCTTGTTCCATTCCGTGTACGTTCTGCTCAACATGTTGGTCAGGTAGAGTGGATTGGTCAGAGCTGACCCGATCTTACCAACTTACCTCTTCCCCATTCCCTCTCTCTCCCTCCCCTCTCCCTTCCTCCCACAATCCCCCCCCCCCCCCCCGAGTCCTGAGTACCCCCCAAACCATCAAAGACTCAGCAGTTTTGTGCTGTAAACATGGACGGTTTGCGTTGTACAGGAGAGAAAGAGAGAGTTCAGAGGAAGATGTTGTCTGAAATGTAGCAATGTAGCCCTCAGAGGCCGAGTGTGTCTCGTACTGTAACCCAGGGTGCAGGGTATCAGCGGGGTGTCGGGGGCCAGGCTGGGGTGGGGGGGGTGGCCTGGTGCTGATGTACTCTCAGGTCCCAGTCTGGCTATGCTTTTACCTTTGTTTCGAGTTGCGTTTGTTTTTGCTGTTTAAAACAAATGACAGTATAAATTTTTGAGCAAAAAAATCCCCCTCCCTGTTTGATTGCTGATCCCTATTGCCTCAGGAACGGTCTCTGTCTGCAGACTAAGTGAAAGGTGCAAAGGTGGATTGTGAATTGTCTGGATTTTACTCACTATTAACAGCCTGGCTTGACTTGAATCGGAGGTGCCAGTAACTCGACTCTTCATTTCTTAACTAACTCAGAAACTAAGTAACTTACTAACTAACTAACTAACTAGGGATTCAGAGCCTTGACCGACCGGCTGGTCATTGTGTAGGAGGTTAATGTGGCCGGGACAGTGTTTTTTTGGCTCTGAATTGCTTTGCAAACAGTGTAAATTGTCCCATTGTGGCCCAGTGCCAGTCGGGGTTCATCCCCACAAACACTCTCCCTTCCCCACCCCACATTCAGGCCAACTCCCCTGACCGGTCCAGGGATGAGGTGCTCGCTGACCCCCAACAAGCCAAACCAGCTCCATATCCCCACCCCCACCCCGTGGCTTTCTGAACTACCTCTGCGTGTTTGGTTGGTGCTTTGGCCATGACGTGATTGAACCATTGTCTCCTTCTCAGGGGATATAAAACCCCCCTCTCCCGATCCAAACAAATCCCTTGCAACATACTAGAGACCATGTCTGCAGCCTCCCAGCCATGGGGATGGGGGCGGATTGACGTGAGGAGAGGGGCTGACACGTGCAGTGTGAGAAATTATTCTGTGGAGTTGCTGACAACATCCTCAAGTGTTAGTTAGTTCTGTGAACTGTATGAGCAGGTTTTACAGCGGTAGCAAATGCACTGAAACCCACTCAGCCTACCGCCTGCTCGCTCAGACATTAACCCTGAGCCTCGGTGCTAACGCAACATTGAAGTACCTCATTACACGTCTAGGGAGATCTCAGAGCAACAAATCCTGTGGTGATTGACTCCAGCGGGCAAGACACACAGGCACTCAACACTCAAACACAGAGACATAGGCACACACACAGCAAACACAGGCACACAACACACAAACACAGAGACACACACGCACACACACAGCAAACACAGGCACACACACACAAATGCACACACACACACACACACA